CTCGTTAGTTTTGCGAAGAAGAGTGGGCTTCATGCTTTTTCCCGCTAAGGATCTCAAGCCATTGATACTCTAGCTATGAATAAATTAAACAATTCTCGATTTTCTTGTTGCTATGCTATTTTCTGAACTTATTTTGAAACCTTCGTTTCTAGTTTCTTTATATTACTTTTACTTATGTCTCCTGTTTTGCTGAACTTTAATAGAATCAGACGAGAACCAAGAAAGAAAAGAATTGGTGTTAAATAGAAAACCTTATGAGCTTGTTGGTCTCGGTGACGTCATTGGGACTGATGAAATACCAGCGCAGCTAAGAGCTAAATAATGAGACATATCAATAAGGAAACTGATTAAATCCACGTTCTCGAAAGTAGAACACCCCCACCCCCTCCGCTCCGCCTGATTGAGAGACGAATCGACGCGCATTTGATTCGCTCAGGTGTCTTGTGGTATTGGAGCCGGTTTTCTTGCCTTTAGCTCCTGTTTTAGCTCCTTCATAAGCGCAACGACCATCTTGACTTTTGTCTATTCGCCGTTGCATTCTTTCAACAAAGTCTTTAGCTCTCTTGTCAATGTTCTTCCAGATCTCTTGATCATTTGGTGAACCCGAGTTTAATGCTAATTTTACCGACGGCTTCTTTTGCTCGAGCTCTTTTCGTAACTTACCATTATCTTCAGACAAGCTTGCTGCTTGGTAGAGCAACTTGCTCAGTTGTCGGCAATGCTTTGCTGATGGGCCCAATTCAGTTGCACATCTCATGTATTCTCCTTCAGTCATCCTTAGAATTTCATCTGAGAATGTGGCGAAGTACTCCAGCATTTCTTCTCGATATTTCAATTCCTTGCTCCTGTGGCCCTTTCTGAATTTTTCCAATGTCTTTGATACTGATTTGGCGGACGCCTCACGTAATTGAGCTGCCACTGTCGGCGAATAATCGCAGGGGTTCTCTTTTAAGCTCGGAGTTAGATTTTTATCCCAGCTGACAAAGAACTTGTTTCCAGCCAAGTCGCCACCAAAACATTCAAACGCGTGAGGGCGTGGGCCTTCGACGGGTAGCACCAGACAGTCCCTCAGGTTCTCGTACCCTTGCTTTTCTCTCGTCATTTTCAACACACGAACGTCCCCGGGATGGTAACATGGATCTCGCATCACTACAAACTTCTGATCGGTGATAAAACCTCTTGTGTTGTCTTCCATCGTCGTGGGGTTAAAGTAGCACTCTCCGTACTCCAGTTTCTTGTAAGGATCGCAAACAGCAAACACTAGTCGAGACTTTGGAACCAGAATTCTCGTGTATGCAGCTTTTTCCATCTCATCCAGTTCTTGTTTTCTCAGATCTTTCAAGTGCTCCGTTATGGTACTGTCAATGCCTTTGTCTTGAATGTCTCGTAGAAGACGGAAATCTCCTTTGAAACGCACGAAATACTCGGCAGTCTCTTTGCACATGCCTTCTAACAATTCATGGTAGCCTGTCTGCAAGTCGTATAGGTTCTGAGCGGACACTCCTCTATCATAAAGAAGCATAGCCATTCGGGTGTCAAGGTATCCGTTGACGTAGGGCCGGGAATAATCCACAACATCAGCGAAGCTGAACCCTTCAGGCATGTTCTCATCTGGGGTAACAAACTTCTGCATTGAGTTGTGGAACAGCACTTTAACATCTGCCAAATCTTCTTTGAGTACCAGCATACCCTCGATGCCTCGATAGCGGACGTGGACAGCGCTGGGCTGATAGTCAAGCTCGAAGACTCGCTGTACTTCGGAAGAGAATTCAGGAGACATAAATCCACATCCATCAGTGAAAGTGTATGATCTGGTAATACCGCCTTTAATGTCTGGCTGCACTTTGTACTCCTTTGTAGCCAACGGGACGACGTTGTTGAGCTTGGAGAAAAGCATTCCAATTTTTCTTGCCCGCTTTCCTAGGTTTTTCTCTTCAAAAAAGTCGCCAAACTTTGCCAAAAGCTCTTGAATTTCTTCCGGTGTTGCTCTCATCAAGTAGCAGGATTTTGTCTTCAGTTGTTCATCCGAGTGGCCAAGGAAGAAGTACGAATGTTGACGACAAAATATCCCTCTTTCTAAAACGCTTTTGCAGAAGCTGTTCATTTCGTCAGATGGCTTGATATCAAATGTCAACTTCATTAGCTTCTGGTTGAAGTCTGGCCCCTCGATTGTTTTCAAATACTCTGTCAGAAAAGTCCTTTCGAGCTTTTCATGATCAACTCTGTAGTCATTTCGACCAGTGCCATGAAACTGTACATGAATTATGCAGGTTTCACCTTCTTCGGTCTCGGGTGGGGTGCTGGCGGCTGATAGGCCTATGCAGAAATGGTAGGACATTGTAGATTGTAGACTTTACCTCCTGTAGGATACTTGATACTTGAATACTTGAGTTACCAACTGTGGAAGTGTAAAAATGAAGACAATTTTTCTTGAATACTTCAGTAACTAACTGCAGAAATGTGGAAATCTGGAAATGTGTCTTGAATACCTAAGGTACCAACCATGGAAGTGTGGAAATGTGGAAATGTGTCTTGAATACTAAAGTTACTAAATATGGAAGTGTGGAAATGTTGAAATTGTGAAAATTTCTTCAATACTTCAGTTATCAACCGTGGAAGTGTAAAAATGCAGAAATGTTTCTTGAATACTGTAGTACCTAACTGTGGAGCCTGGAAATGTGGGTTGAATACGGTACCAACTGAGGAAATTTGGAGATGTGTCTTACCCAACGCAAGCACCCCACCCATTTTACTTAATATTCTTCAATGAAATCCTGATTATGAAATAAGCAGTTCATGCAAATCAAGCAAATATAAACATTTGTTTTTTTT